GCAGCATTAGCCTTTAAGTGATATTTCCTCATCTTAATTTCCTGTCTGAAATTGCCAATTTTTGGAAGATTTTAGGGACTATTCCATTTTTTCATGCTACCTCCTCCTACCAAGGAAATATCCTGGCAGCTCCACACTATGGGGAAGAATAGAACCTTGTCCGTTGGGACAGAGTGGCRCATGAGGAACTGAGGACTCGCCTGAAGAGAAGGGCCTGCGTGTTACAAGGGATGAGGCCAAATTATCTCTGCCTAGTCACATGAATAAGGCCAGATGCCCATGGGGCTGCCTTAGTGCAGCATGTCTACGCAGATGAGGGGAGCTGTTATTTCCATGCAAGAGGGTCTTTGCATGAAGGCCGTGRTGGGAGTCCATTTTGGTGAGCAGGTGTGAAAACTGAGGTGTCCTAGGGTGTTGGGCCAGCAAGCACTCCTCAAAGGCCTGATTTTGCTCTTGCTTTCCTCTTGCATGAGCTTGAAACATGGTGGTTTTGCTGGACACCCCATGCATGTGGCATGGCCAAGTAGACCTGTTGTCACTGTGTGAAACCAAGTATCTGCAGTGAATTATGCAAGGTCTTTGCAATGCCGGGATCTGCAGAGGTCTGARTGAGTGGAGCTGCAGCGRGTARTAGGCAGTGAGATGTCAGATGGCCCAGAAKATTCTCCACCTGGCTGTGGCTCTAGTTGGACATGAGTCTCCTCATTGCCCWGCCAGWGAAAGCAGACACTGACACAAGTCTTGGAGCACCACGGCCCCTTCTGAAGCCCAAAGTGAGTGTGTGTGTACAGCTGACTCCCTCCTCTTATCCCCACTGACTACAGTGGGAACTTGGAAAKGAGCTCCCATGCAGAGAGCTGTTTTGTGCCCCCCAGATGCTKGGCGAAGGGAATCCTCTTGTGAGGCTGTGCAGTGTGCTGGCATTAGATGTGCTGCTGTAGTCCTCCCAATGAGGTCCTCACACCTGAGGAAATGAGCTTGCGCTGTTCTTGGCCCTGTGCATGTGTTCCATGTGCTTAGGAGATGGGAACASGGTGTTGCAGAGCAGGACGTGTCCACTTCTCTTAGATAACAGTCCTTTGATGAGGCCAACTGCAATCTCTCASTCTGTCTCCATGGCTGAAAGAGAGACCATAGTTGATCATTTTGGGGATGTGAGTGGACATTTGTCAGGGACCTTTGAGAACCTTTCAGGAGCCATCAGCCCTGGAAGCCTGTGATCATCTCCAGAGTGCCCAGGGGACAGAAAATGTCCCGTCTTCCTCTGGGTCCSTGCTCCTGAGCTGGGCCTGGCCCCTGGGACTGCAGGAGCCCWTGGCAACCTGGCAGGTGCTGTGGAGAGACAGCTCTGCCCAGGAGCAGCTCCTCCTAAAGGAGCACCAAGACTCAGGGCACTGCCCACACACACTCGGCTGGGATGAGTTGCTCCTAAGTGAATGGGAGTTGGGAAGGGGAGG